CGTTGCTTGGTTCTACAATCGAGGCCAATGGAAGCAGCAGTCAGGACATTAGATGATGTGTAGCACTGGGAAGGTCAACCGTGAAGAAACTGTTTCAAGTGCTGAGGAGCAAGGATGTCTCCTTGAGGACTAAGGTGACTAAGGCACAAGCCATATATTTCCAATCGCTTGGTATGCATGTGAGAGCTGGACAAAGAATAAGGAAGACCGAAGAAGAGTTGATGCTTTTGAATTGTGGTGCTGGCGAAGAATGCTGAAAGTACCATGGACTGCTAAAAGAACTAACAGATCTGTCCTGGGGGCAGTGCACCCGAAATTCTCTTTGGAAGCGAGAATGGCCAGACTTCGTCTCATCTATTTTGGTCATGTTGTCAGAAGGGACCATTCTCTGGAGAAGGATGTCATGCTTGGTAGGGTGGAGGGTCGATGAAAGAGGGGAAGGCCTTCAACGAGATGGATTGACATGGTGGCTGCAATGGTGGGGTCAAGAATAGCAGGGATCATGAAGCTGGCATGGGTTCGGGCAGTGTTTCGTTTTGCTGTGCATGGGGTCGCTCTGAGTCAGAAACGACTCAATGGCACCTAACAACAACAACAACAACAAACATAGAACATAATTTGTATGATTTGATTTTTCACATTTTTGAGACTTGTTTTGTGGGCTATCATAAGGTCTGCCCTGGAAGTGGTCAATGTGCATTTGAGAAGAATATATATTCTGCCATCGATGGGTAAGTATTCTAGAGAAGTCTGTTGTTGTTGTTGTTGTTGTTATGTGCCATTGAGTCATCTCCGACTCATAGTGACCCTTCCTTGGGTTTCCGAGGCAGTATCACTATGGAAGTAGATTGCCCAACCTTCCTTCTGAGGAGTGGTTGGTGGGTTTGAACTGCCAGCCTTCAGGTTAGCAGTCAAGTGCCTTAGGCACTATCCTACCAGAGCTCCTAGAGATGTCTGGTAGGTCTATTTTATATTGTTACTGAAGTCTTCTATATCCTTGTCTATCTTCTGTCAGTTGTTTCAGTCATATTCCAAGTGGAATGTTCTCTAAATACTATTGTAGAATTACCTATATTTCCCAAAGATTCTGTTATTTTTGCATCATGTGGTTTAGGGCTCTGTTGTTAGGTGCATATACGTTTAAAATTTCTTTACAGTCTTTAGTCCTAAATTGGTCACCATCAGTATTATAATAAAGGTGCTAAAAGAAAGTCAATGCTAAGTTAAAATTTAATACTGATCAAAATATACTTTAAAAATAAAAGTGAAATAAACATTTGTCAGTAAAAGTAAAAAGGAGCAAATTTATTACCTACAAGTCTGCATTAACGACTACTATGTTTTTATGCAACTAACATGTGCATCATGTTTTTTGCATACCACACCCCCCATACATACTTTTCATAAGTGCACTACACCAAACGTTTTACGTGTTGATGACATCAATATCAATTTTTTTTTTTCTGCCTACTGGATTTAATGTTAAGTCTTCATTTTGGTGCCTGTTGACAGCGAGGTTTGGTTTGCAGCAACAGACCCTTACCAGCCTAATCTCAAGTTTCTAAAGCAGCCTCTTTCCTAACAGGGTTCCTTCCCTGCTCTGCAAACTATGTTCTCTGATTCAGGATGAATTCACTTTGTCCACTAGGGTGGCTTTCCGCAGCCCAGAAGGTTCACAAGTCTGCACACCCCAGACCAGAAAGACCACCCAGGTGGGCATGGCCAGTGCCACAGTTGCACACATTCTGCCCCACTATCAGGCTGGCCAGCTACCATGCTCAGGCCATTTGAATCTCCCACCCACTTGGATGCTGCAGGGGGGGCATGAGCGCTGCAGATGAAAGGAGGTTGCACATCGCTCACTGGAATCCCACTGGGCACCCAGGGGTCTTATGGGCCACGGAAAGGCTCTCCTGCACCCGCACCATTCTGCCGCCTGGCTTCATGTAGGCCAACATTGCAAGATAGGCAACAGCCCCCACTCACTTCAGGACCGGCCTGAGCTTGGGCTGTGGCAGCTCCACACACAGCCCTCAGCCTGATCATCCACCTAATTCTGGTGTGAAGTACCTGGTTGCAGACCTGCTACAAGGCCCACTTCACCACTCTCAGACCCTCCATCAACTGCCCCAGTGCAAATGTAGTTTCACTAGTTTATTCTCTAATTACCAGGGTACTACCAATCTTGATCCATGACTTCTTGACCACAGCTTATAATTTTATTATACAAATATGATCAAGAGTAACATTTTCAGACTATTGAATGAGGCCAAAATTCACTTCTGGAAATGTCATGAAGCATGTGTGGTGTAGGTATGGATATGCCACGCCAGAACCTTTTCTACCTAATTTTGTCATTTCCACCCATTGAATGCATGTGTACATATCTATGTGAGTGTACTACTTGTGAAAAATATACATTTTTAAAAGAGTTCTTAAGCAGATGGAGACGTGGAAATGCAGACAGAAATGAAGAGCAATGTAAAGGGTAAATATGAAGATAAGAAATGAGTTATAAAAGCCTCCTTACTGTATGATTTATTTTATATAAAGTTCAAAACCAAGCAAATGGCTAGTTGAAACACAGGACAGTGGAAACCTTTGTAGAGAAAGAGATGCTTCGAAAGGGGAGGGAACATGAAGAAAGTTAGGAGCCTGTTGTTGTTGTTAGGTGCCATTGAGTCAATCCAACTCATAGTGACCCTATGTACAAAAGAATGAATGATGCTTGGTCCTGCACCATCCTCACAATAGTAGGTATGTTTCAGCTTGTTGCAGCTACTGTGTCAGTCCATCTGGTTGAAAGTCTTCCTCTTTTGTGTTACCCTCCATCTCACCAAGTGTGATGTTCTTTTCCAGGGATGATTCTCTCTTGATAATGTGTCCAAAGGAAGTGAGACAAAGTTTTGCCATCCTTACTTCTAAGGAGCATTCTGGCTGTACTTCTTCCAAGGCAAATCTGTTTTTTCTTCTGGCAGTCCCTTTGCTGTTGTTAAGTGCCGTCAAGTTGTCTCCGACTCATAGCAACACTATGTACAACAGAATGAAACACTGCCAGTCCTGCTCCAGCCCCACGATCACTGCTATGCCTGAGCCCATCGTTGCAGCCACTGTGTCAGTCTATCTTGTTGAGGGCCTTCCCCTTTTCCATTGACCCTCCACTTTACCAAGCATGATATCCTTCCCCAAGGAATGGTCCCTTAGAGCAATATGACCAAAGTAGGTGAGATGAAGTCTGGCCATTCTTGCTTCCAAGGAGCATTCTGGCTGCACTTTTCTGGGATAGATTTGGTAGTTCTTTTAGCAGACTGTGGTACTTTCAGTAGTCTTCACCAACACCATAACTCAAGAGCATCAGCTCTTCTTTGGTCTTCCTTATTCATTGTCCAGCTCTCACGCGCATAGGAGGCGATTGAAAAATACCACAGCTTGGGTCAGTTGCACCTTACTCTTCAAGGAGATATCTTTGCTCTTCAGCACTTGAAAGAGGTCCTTTGGAGCAGATTTGCTCAGTGCAATACGTCGTCTGATGTCTTGACTGCTGCTACCATTGGTGTTGATTTTGGAACTAAGTAATATGAAGTCTTTGACCACTTTAATTTTTTCTCCATTTATTGTGATGCTGCTTATTTGTCCAGTTGTGAGGAGTTTTGTTTTCTTAATATTGAGGTGTAATCCATACTCCTCTGGTAGCATAGTGCCTAAGGCACTTGACTGCTAAGCAGAAGGCTGGCGGTTCAAACCCACCAGCCACTCCTCGGAAGGAAGATGGGGCAA